TTTTTTCCCCGATTCTGTGTGAACGACACATCTGAATGTGGAATAGGTATCGCGGCTGAACCAGGAACGTCATGGTGCATTTTCTGGTTTTCCATCGCCGGCGCGTGGGGGTCATGCGCCGGCGGCCAGGCGCGTGTCCCTCGGCGCAGCATGTCCAGCGTCGGAATCCCCAACCCAGCCCACTGGTCGGGCGCATGGGTTGGAAAAGTGGCCGGACCCGGCAGATCTGGGGCGACGACGCTAGGGTTTCCACCTAGGGCCGCCACCTGAAATTGTGGCTGAATTAGTAGCGTGAGGCCGGTAATCTAGGTAGTACTGTGCAACGGGAAGAAGTCGTCGCCGGCAAGAAATGGTGGCTGGGTGGTGGTTCGGTATTTAGGGTAGTGGGTGATGGGTTTGGGTTCCATCACTGTCGGGCCCCACGAATTTGACACTAACGACGATTCTACCCTTGTTCCCATTATTAAGATGACTGGATAAATAAGCAAAATTACTTCATGACCATTCTTTATTACATTTCTTCTCAAATTTATCTTAAGCTAATCTGAAAGAAAAGTTCAATGTTACTCTATTCCTCTAACATAAACACCAAAGCAGAGCCCTCCTTGTACTACGACAAATGCAACAACAAATGTCAACGCAATTTCAGACCTAGGAAAGTAGCCATACTCCCTCCACCGAAAACAAATATATTACTTGAAGTAACTTTACCATTCTTTTTTCTAAACGTCGCCAAACATAAAGAAAGCCAAGTTAAGAGTAATATTAGAAACGTAATAATGCAGAAGCTATGATGATAGCAGGATATTCAGCTATGCACGGATGACCACGTTACTTGGAATAAAAAACTTCACCTCCTGAGCATGATCATATACAACATTGAAGATTGCATTGGTATCTAGAATACACCAAATCTTAGCAGTTATGAATAGAAATTGATTTTGTGTTTAGAATGATTGATGTACCTTGAGGTAAGATACGTATGGGGATTTGACATGGCCTCCGTTGCTCAACTCAGTCATTATCTTTAGCAAGGATAACTTTGGACAGTCCTTTATCATGATCAGGTCCAAACAACCATCCGAAAACTGCAAATCAATCACGGAAAAATAATCAACATTCAACAGCAACAAACCAAGTCTTATCTGCAACATAGCTCATGTTAAGTTTTATTTGACTCGTGTGGCATCTTCTCTATTTTGACTACAAAATTCACATTTCATTATCTTTCTCACTTCAGAAGCAACTTAGCCATATATCGCAGAACTAAGAAGAAAGATGAAATAAGAAAAATCGAGGCCAAAAGAAATTGCGAACGAGGATTAAGTCTTACAAGGTTCTTTCAAGGGGGAAAAAAATTGGTTGTAGATACAAAAACAAAGCATAGAGAAGTGAATAAAACTGCAGTTATAAAGAGATTAAAAAGAGTGCAATGCACAACAAGAATGGCCACAGAAATATTTGTTTAACTTTGAAGG